TATTAGGAGAGCTAACTAGCAAGAAGAAAACGAAAGTAAATAAAACAAGATGCAGTCACACAAAAGATTATTTGAGTGAAAAAAGTGGAAATGGAACGTTCTTAGAATTATGATGCTCATTAATATTTGTCCTTAAGGCATTTTAGTTTTCTGTATGCAGATATTTATTGTAATTCCTATATTCATAAAAAAGTCAGTGCTCTAAAAAAGAAACCTAATAATGCCTTATTTTATTTTAGTTTGTTTCTATTAGCATCTTGTTATCTGACTTAAAATTCGCTATTAAAAGAAATGAAAGCGGAGTTGTTCCTGGGGCATTATAAACGGAGTCAAATGAATAAGAATTTTTGTCTTTATTTTTCAAAATAAGATTCAATGCTAGTAATTGGTGAAAAAAAGCGCTTTTTTAATCAGGAATATACATACATGCAGTATAGGGCACTGAAGCATTGCTACAAATATTTGATTGCAAGCAAATAAAAACGATTTTCCCCCTTCTTTTAAATTAGCGTTAAAATGCATTCCTGCATTTAATTTGAAAAACAAATTCTTTAATTAATATAATGCGAACAAATTACGTATTCATGAAACAAGCTGTAATTCAAATACCTGATGTCTAGCTGGAGAAATATGCAGCAAAATGCTCCAAGAACGTGGAGTTATTGAAAGTAAGGTAGCTATTAATTACAAAACAGACAATCGATTAAAAAATTTAAAACTAAACAAAAACATGCCAGCCTAGAATGGCATAGATTTTGGAAAAATTCTATTGATTTCGAATGCAGTCAGACAAGGTTCTCTCTTTCTCGAAAACGTTTGAAAACTAGAAGCGGCAATAATGAAACTGAAAGAAAAATAAAAAAAGCGGAGCAATCAGAAAATGAACTTAAATGTCATTTGGGAAAAACAACAGTAATAGCGCATGACATAGACAAGATATTAGAATACTGAAATGTAAGATATTAGAATCCTGAATGTTTGTCTAGTGTTTTTGTAGGTTTGAATTGCGAATTGGGATTTATATTGATGCATGCGTACGGGTTCGTAATAGTCTGAATGCCACGGTCCGCTGATTGGTTGATAAAATTTATTTTTATCAAAAGCATTGCATTTTATGGTTCTAGAACATTCCCCCAAAATAGTTGTACAACTCTTCACAGAGTAGTACGTACATTTTTTTTTTTTTTTTTTTTTTTTTTTTCATCCGTAGAATTCTTTACAGTAAAATAGTCGTGCGACTCTTCACAGTTTCACAGAGTAAAATCAGTAGTTATACTTTAAACTACTAAGAACGTTAAACACAAAGCAATGCAAAGCGAAGCTAATCCGGAGGTGTCTCAGTACTCTGCCCTCACACTGAACTCTCAATTGTCTACTGAGTGCAGATGCTCTATCCAGTCTTATATAGTTTCTAGCCGAACACCGATATGATTCTAGCAGTTTCTGCTTGTCGAAATTACTGGAAAGAGGTACGAGGTCCGAACTACGGTTACAGCTACAAACAGCTTACATTATCAGGTTCAATGTTCCGTCTTACCTTCTTCGGGAACATCCAAGGACCTGACTCGGAACAGAGAGCTTACTAAAGCTATGTTCAAAACTGTGGGAAGTAAACAGGATACACAAGAAGGGTATACAAAACCCTTTATTTTCTCTATTTACAATAACTTCCGTACTTCGGAATACACAGCCCGCTACTTGGGGTCTAACGTAAAAATATAAAAATAGAACTAAACTCTAAGTTAACTTTAAAATAATAAACGTGGAAGATTGGCCTTATATTAACAGGAAGCCGTATGTAGTACAGAGAACTGTGAACACTACAATACGTTTAAAGTTATCAAGAGGATTAAACCTCTGGCCTGGAAGGCAACCAGCAACTGAGTAAAACTTCTAAGGTAAGCGGCCTGCTTCGACTAACTGCTTCCTCTCTCTCGCTTGGCAAAAAGCCACAACTTAAATACTTGGCGTTCGCCAGACAAACTTTGCATAAATACTTTAACGCTTATAATTCTGGCCGGAAGTAGAAAATAAGAAGTGATAGTAAAGATTTAAAATAAAATAAACGTTAGTAAAACTTAAGATCCTTACAACATGATCATCAATTATATATTTTTAGTTATAGTTAAACATGGACCGGACGAAAATGTCGCAGTGTGTTCGAAATGTTCAGCGACTTTTGAGGATTCCTCCTCAAATTTGGAGAAAAAAATTAGTCTCACCAACTCTTACCAGCTGGGCGATATCTGGGCAATTTAGCAAACACCTGACATACACGTGACATAACACAGAATGTTAAAGGGCAGATAGAGAGAAGCACGAGACTCATTTGAGTCAATCCAAGCGCTGTCGAGTTGTAGTTTAACACCTCTGATTGCTTGCGCCACTATAGAGGAATGTTGAGCTTTTACGCAACAAAATACATTAAAAACTAGCTATATCCTCGTTAGTTTAAATCCAAGGATTATTTGTTAGCTGGATAACCATGTATACACTGTTTGGAATTATTTGGCCTCAAGACGCTTCGTACGCCCTATCACCGTCTGTAATATTCACTCAGACCTGTCACGACAATGGTGACCTTATTGCGGGCATCGGCGAGCCGAAACCATGTACGTACTACTGAGTACAACTTTTGAGCTTGATGTAAAATGTACCAACAAGATCTGCTCATGATACCTCATGATACTGACAAGCAATCCGCAGCTTGGTAAGCGGGCCCGTTAGCCGCTTCCCTTGGCGCTGCTCCACGGCGCCGAGATGGATTCTCGGAGGAGTGATAACCACTTACAGCAAGAAAACAAGTACGAAGGGATCTGACAATTCCATATAATTTTAAAGAGCTTCGTATCTTTCATGTCTCTGATCTTGAACCATATTAGGTATTCTAACATTTTTTTATATAGACAAACGCGGACATATCTTATCTAAACTCATGAAATAATCTTAAGATCGTAAACGAAACATCATAGCTAAAATATAAATCATGTCAAAGGAAAAATCACGTGATTCTGTGTAAACTGAGGCTCTATTAGACAATTGGCTAAAACCGTTGAATACTGCTATTTCCACTGGAATTGGAACTCAATGGTAAATGGGCTACCTACATGTTTAATTTCGTGGGTTTTCCAGTGTATAACCTAAATAAGAGCCAGTTTCTCTCAGGACGTCCTTCACGAATTCATCCTTCTTCTTAGGCACGTAGGCATCATGTGCTTTGGCATATTCAATAATCTAACCTTCTCTATTCTGAATCTGAAATATCTTTAGGTTTATTTTTAAACGAGTATCTATATTATAACCCTTTAAGTTTAAATTGTTTCCTCTGGAATCTAAATATGAGTATCAGAATCCAGTTTTTGTTTATATTTTTATAAGTTGTGCCTTTTTTTTTAATTATTAAACACAAATTCTTCTTCCAGCTGTTAAATTATAACCTGAAATTTAGAAATTGTATCTCATATTTTCTTCCCATTTATAAAATGCATTAAAAAACCTTCTGCAACAATGTATTGCAAAAGGAAAGAACTGGCACATTCTATAGAAATAATTGAACCTGAAACCTACACTGACATTAATTTCATATGAAGAATTTACTTTCACGTCAGTTTTTTCCCCAGTATGTTTGTTTATGTATACGTTATATACCTCCAAAATTCGAAAAGTTTTATTAATTCGCACGAGGTCAAATCTTTTCCCTCAATTTCTTCTAACCCCACGTTTGGCATCCGAATTAAAAATGATGGAAAATATCAACTTAAACAGGTTACTCAATTTGTATTAATCGATTGCCGTATTCTCCTAATAGTATGTGAGAGATAAGAGAAATTCATATTATTAAAGCGCATTCTTATATAGCACATCAAGCGCGTTATTTATCTTTTTACTCCTATCTACTATGCAATATGCATCGCCTTCAAGTCAGTGATGCAATGACATTTAGACGTGGTACCGTACAAAGTCTGCCCGAAAGTAATGCGCCCCATTTTCTTCTGCTGCCACTTCTCGGAGCCGTCGCACAGCGTTGCTCCTTACGCGGAAGAGTGAGTGGAGTCTTGTAAACACAGCTCGACCAACTCCAATTGGCTCCGAGCTCCTGGAGAGTCACAGTATCTGTTTCAGTGAACCCTTGTGCGAGTGCTCGGTCGAAATCAAGATAAAAAAACTCTCGAACAACGATACGCAAAGTTTTGTTTCAAACCTGAGAAAGCGTTGTCGGAAACTTTTGCGTTGCTTCACTCCTAATTTGTACCCACCCGACTTCTTTTTATTTCGGAAACCCTCAAAGAACAGCATTTAGGGACCCTGGAGAACATCGACGATGCTACGACGAGGTTGATAAAGAATATCCCTGTGACGGACTTCCAGGACGCATATAAAGCTTGGAAAACGCGTTGGAACAAATGTGTGAAAGCAGGAAAGTATTTCAAAGAATTTTGAGTAATTGTACGAATAAGTTCAATAAATTTCTTTAAAAAAATGGGCGCATTACTTTCGGGACAGACCTTGTATTAACTTCTACCTCTGCTGTAAATATTACAAAGCATTAATATTAGTTCATCAGTAGAGTAATACTATTACTTTAGTACTGAAATCCTGAAATCCGCTGTAATGCAAGTATTTTACATTTCTTAACCTAACTGCTGCACATTTATAACAAAAATGTTTTAACTGCGTATTTGACTTCACCGCTGCTGCATTCTCCTACAAGATTTCTGAGGGAATAAGCTTTGATCACAGGATTATTTAGAATAATTGCCTAGGCGTATACAGATTGAAAATCTCCATTCCCAAGTGGAATTGATTTCCTGTTCGATGAAGTAACGTTATTTGTCTTTGATGCACTACAAAAACGCAATTTACTTAGAAACAAAGGAATACATTATTTAGTGTTTATGTCAACAATTACGCTAAATATTAAATAAAAATTTTATATGTTATGGCTTCAATGCTTTCGAACATAAGTATTTTAATGTATATTCTTGTGTGTCTCCAAACAGTTGCTCCCGTCTGCAAATACGGACAAGGTGGAATTTTTGGAATAGCAAAACAAGAAACTCTAAATATCACATGCGAAGTTGAAGCAGATCCAACAGATGTTCGGTTTAACTGGGCTCTTAATAACACCGTAGAAATGATCGAAGTTAAAAAATTCCTCACCGAAGGGACAACAAGCACAGTTTTCTACACACCACAGAATATGCTAGGATACGGTGCCTTGCTTTGCTGGGGCACCAACAGCATAGGAAGGCAGAAAGATCCGTGCATCTATCGTGTTGTGCCAGTGGGTAAGTTTCAGCTATCCATTGTTTATTCTCAATGTGTAAGATTTGGATCCAGGCATAGTCAGATTTAATCCTATGTGTTATTTACTAACCCTATTATTTAGCTCAGTGATATATTTGTGCACCTTCATGTATAAAATATAGAGAAAATACTGTATAGTTTATGATGATTCCCAAATAAAATGAAGGCTAACAGCAGAAGCAAAAGAAACGAAAAGCATTCTTCAGAAATCAGGTAAGTACCGATCTTCACTTTTTGATATATTTGTGTGAATGTATGTTTTGAATAGAAAAATGGTTGTATGTGGGAAAATATCCATGTAGACGTGAAGAAAATTATGTATTACTTATTTGATTTAGTAGATCATTTCAGTTTAGCTGTAGTAGTTCAGTGTTACTTTTGATGCAGATTGTAATATGCAAGTCGCGTTACAGAATTAAATGTAAAAATTCGCTTAATGGTACATCCTGGGAGTAAACGAAAAATTTTGATATGCACGGTATCAAAAGGGTGGGACAACAATCTACTATAAAATTAGCACGAATACTTGGCAGTAAATGAGCATGAAAACATGCATCATTAAATAGTTAAACTAAACTACTTAGAATTAAAGCAATTCCAAAAACTTCGCATATGTAAAAGTATGAAAGCAATATCAATAACTTTAACAAATTACACATATGGCGAAAACGAGTATGAATACTAATAATATACACAAATTTTACAGCTTAAAATTATATATTTACTTTAAATTCGCAGGGAAAATATCTGTGTCACCATATAAATAGCTTTTAAGATTCGTTTATTTGATACGATAAATTTTGCGTCAGAATAAAAGATCCTTTTCGTAAATAAACAGTCTAAGAAGAATCATACAGGTTTCAGTTTTGCATAATGCATTCAAGTGAAATTAACAGCTTTCTAATTTTCGTAAATGACTGGGTTACTTTGCAGAATCAGGATTAGAATCAGAAACAGGACCAGGAGAGTTGTAGAATCAGGAGAGTTATGCAACGATTACAATTGATGAAGTGGTCTAACATAAATGATTTTTTTCATATACGATACATTTCTTAAACTCTTTATTTGGAACTTAAATCTGAGACCATTAGCTAAACAGAGAGCCCCTACTCCATAGCAATGCAATTTTCGACAACTGAAGCTTCTCAGTCTTTCCATGTATAAGTAGAACTTGTGCATTTCTCATCGCTGTTTCTACTTGCCTCATAATGCTTTATATTTTTTAATTATGCATGATTTCACGAAAACCAACATCTACACTGTTAAATAGAGCCACAGTCCACTTAGAGTAACGTTAAATGTCTAAGCTAATTTTTCAAGAAACAAAAAGCTATAATTATCAAAATTAGAACTTCACCAATCCCATTCATATCAGAGACAGGCTCAGTATACGCTCTGGCTGTCATTCAAGGGTACAGGTTCACAGTTCACACCGACGAATGAAACATTGGTTCATTTTTTCGTAGACCCTGGTGTTGTATTTATCACCTTTGCTGCAACAACGATTCTCTTGATGAGATTTTGTATGAAGTACACAGGTATCTTGAATAATAAGAAGGTCAGTTGCTTAAGATACGATCATCATGTCACCAAGTCATTGGTTCACTAAAAACATCTAAAATATTATCCCAACCTCTGGAGTATGTTTCATTCAGAAAGTGTGGAACCACGCTGGCGTAGTATGCTGGAATTCAATGATGCATAAACTAAAGGTGGTGAATTGAGCATCAAACCGGACAGCATTTATTCCAGAAAAGCACGTCATGACACGCCAGTCAGATAATCGAGGATTTACTAAGGGTCTGACAGACAATTACGAAGGAAACCTTTCCAGATAGATGCTCATGGCAAAGCTTTGCTTCCCTTTACGTAGGGATATAATGACGTAGGGATTGCTATCAGCCCAGATGGATTCGTTGCGAATGTTGCAAATGCCTTTCCGTTAAAACGAGTAAGGTGGAACACTGCGGATCATTAGTTGGCATTTAGGGCATGTGTCTTGCAAACGATAACCGATAGGGTAGTCAACTGTACTTAAAGACTGCACATCTTGCTGGCGAAGGAGCAACATGCTTGCTTCATATGCATTATTGTTTCAGCATATTGTGACAAACTCTAATGTCAATTGCTCTAATGTCAGTCTTGTAGTTGTGACAGGTGCTCTGAAATGCTCTCCACACACGCTTTTCCATTTCTGGCTTCGCATGCTTCCCTCACATGCCATATGTCTTCTTGAGATAGAAAAGGAGCCGGTTTCATGTACTGTTCTATCAACATTAGCAAAAGTAGAATGGCATGGAATGTAACATTTAGGTAATCCCTCACAGTGCAGTCTCTGTAATCCACGTCCGTTCCCATTTGTTTGACTATACATTAGACGTCTATATGTCAATTCCTCTCACATGAAATCTGCAGTAGCCTTTGCGAAGTCGTGCCGTATCATAGTATTACGCTAATCTGAAGATTTGAAAATGTCATTCTTTTTAAAACAACGTTCGACTCTGTTATCTTTCTATTGAATTTGATGATCCAGTCAACTTTAAATGTCCATGTTGCATATGGCAAATTCTAGACAGTGATGTTCTAGTTACAATTTTCGACACTCAAGGACGAAGGCAATCGTAAGTTCCATTGTAAATATTTTTCTTTGTGATGGATACTACCACAAAATACGCATTTTATCTGTAGAACTCTAGATGGAAGTGGAGCAGTTGCTCAAAGGAGGTGGGAATAAATGAGTTTCTCCGTTTTAACTGCAGCACCGTAGATAAAACCCTTGTCGGCGAGGTTTACATTCCTAGCGATGTATTCCGCAGGCAATCCGGTAGAGGAACGAACATTTATGTCAGCTGAACGCTTTATCGTGTGTCAGCAGTATCCTGTAGCACTTCGAAAGCACCATTTTGTCGCTCACATTATATTATAACATTTGCTTTTTTCGACAGTCTCTATCTGCCTTTACAACATTTTTGCCAGATGATTTCTGAGCACCTTATATAAGAGCCACAGGTTGGTCGTCTTAGCATAAAACGTTTAATTTTTCTCGCCGTTACGTAACATTATGTTACGTCAAAAGGAGATTTATAATTCAGGCAAAATGGTAAGTTTTCACATTCCAGAGGGCTAAGATCTTTAATTTGTCAACTATGTAACACATAAAATTGCCAATTTTTAGAAGTGTTAGCAATCGGCGTTTCATAAGATCCTTCATTTATTCAGTTAAAACAGCATCGTTGCTAGCATTCTGAATCATTTATATCCATTTATTGTAATTTTAATATGTACGATATATTCTTCTTGTCCTCCCAGGACAGATCTGGGAGACAGGCTAAGAGCGTTTAGTTATACCAAATGGATTGCGTCTATTATCGATGGCAAGAAAAGAAAATGCATCTGATGCATGATTTATAATATATCTAACTTGAAATGTTTATAAATAAGTCTGAAATTATTCTACTCAAAACTTATAGAAATTTATACTATATAATGCATAAAAATGATTGGCGTTTCGCTTAAAAATGATTGTTTTGTACATGGTATATCATTATCTTTCGCATTATTCTAAAATATATGATGCATTATATGCTTCCGTTTCACGATGATCACCCCACTGCACTTACAAGTTGTATACAAACGCTTTTTGCTGTGCATTCGCAAGTTTGCAATTCATTTTCAATGAATATTTAGATTTAACGCTTCTCAGAATATTGTCGTTCTTAACCCTAAATGAAGGATTGCTGTACCATGCATAATTCGATCCATAACATACTAAGTTCTATAATTCAGTATAAATGTTTTAATGAATTTTAGAAAGTAGCACTTGTCATTATTATAGTGGCGCTTAATTTTTTTTTAATAATTTATATTTGATTATGAAATTTGGGCTCAATGGGTGTCACACAAGCTCACTGTGCTGTAGAAACAACAGATGATATTCTGCAGGAACAGCTGAATCAGATAATATATTTTTTCATTAGATGAAATTGAACATGCATGACTGACGGTTCTCCAGCAACGAGAAACTGTGGCCAGTCTGCCCATAAATGCGTCCGCAGTACTGCTAAAGAATAGTTTGCCGAAGCCATCCGAAAACTTCATAGAAAATGGATACGTTCCATTCATTTTGATCGGGATTTCCTGTAATGTTCAAATATACATAAAAATTAAAGTATATTTTTTGAATTTACTCATCTTAGCCATATTCATTATTGGGCATCACAAATACCTACAGAAGCAGACTCCCATCGCCTCAAAATTTCATAATTATTTTTGGACATATTTAGAAAAAACGATACTGCTTGGATATAGTACGCTTTTAAACCATAGTTATGCATAAAATTATTAAATACGGGTGCTATTGTTAAAGATAGAGAAACTCCTGTCTATAGTTCGCAGTCCAACTACAAGTGAATTGTTTAAAAATAGCTTAAAAAAAGCTAGAATAAATTCATTTCCTTTTCGTACGTGTTTACACTTTTAAGCACTTTGATTGTCTAGAATATTCGTCGTTTACTCAGTGTCTAGACATTCAATTAAAAAGGATAATTACTGCAATTATCTATCTCACAAAGTTTTGATGGAGTGAGCGGAAGTTAAAAGAAAAACTTTTATATCAAATTAGTTTCTCCTATTTCTAACTCTGTTTTCTTTAGGTTTTCGGATTTAGCAGAATCCTTCGTCGTATTGCTCTGAAGTTATTCAAAAATATTTTTGTGATTTATTGTAATTAACAGTTTAATTTGACATAAAAGAGTTTCGTCGTCTTTAGGATGGAAAAGCGTATTTACAGAGCTTAATGTTTTAATATTGCATTGTAGATGATATTTGGAATTCACCATAATTAAGTTAGGTTTAGTGTACAATATTCTTAGTTTATTTAATTTTTTCCACAGTCCTGTACCGAATGAATACTGTGGGGATCATTAAAAATGAAGGTAAACTTTGCAATCAAAAACAATGGATCATTCAATTACTAGTTATG